TCTTTAGAGTTGTATATTCATCTTTTAGCTTGTTGTGACTAATGATAAGCTCATTGTGCACCCACTCAAGTTTATCATGTTTATCTTTAAGCTCTTTCTTAGAAGATTTGAGCTCCTTGAGTTTGGATCATATAGAATCATTTGTTTCTTTGAGCTCATCATTAGCCTTTTCTAATGTATCACACTTAGCTAAGAGTGAATCATTTTTAGCATCAAGTTTTTCATTAGTAGCTCTACTCTTTCTAATGATCTTAGTGTATTTTCTTAATATTTTGACAAGATCATCATATGTGGGTGAATCATCATCGCTATCACTATCATCATCACTAGCTTGCTCATCATCACTACTATCATCACTCTTAGTTACCTTGCGTTCACCCTTGGCCATAAGGCATAGGTGTGTAGAGGATGATGGCGATGGTGGCGGTGAGGATGCAAGATCAATAGCAATGGCGGCCACCTTCTCATTGTCACTCTCATCATCGAATGAACCACTTGATGAATCAATGTCCGTGAGCCAATCACCGACAATATAGGCCTTGCCACTCTTCTTCTTCTTGTAGAAGTCTCTCTTTTGCCATCTCTCTTCTTGTATGGCTTGTTCTTTTCTTTTCATCTTCATCACTTGAATCATCTTTCTTGCCCTTGTTCTTGAACTTGTCTTTCTTGGGCTTTGTGCATTGATGAGCTAGGTGGCCAAGTTCGCCACAATTGTAGCAATCCATCTCGAGATTGGCTTTCTTCTTGAGCTAGTGAAGATCTTCTTCTTCTTGCCGTCAAACTTGATGCCACTCTTGTTTAGCTTCTTTAGCATCTTGGCGGTCTTTTTCACCATGAGAGCAAGACTTTCTTCATCATCTTCATCACTTGAGCTCTCATACTCAAGTCTTGCCTTGCCCTTATCTTGGCTAGCTTTGAATGCTAAGTCCTTCTCTTTCTTCTTTGTAGAGGTTGAGCCATCTTGTGGCGTGATGTGCATGTACATCTCATGAGCATTGATCTTTCCCAAGATTTGTGTCGGTGTAGCGGCGGAAAGATCACCTTGATGTAGCACTAGTCACAATGTGCCCATATTTGTCAATGGGGAGGACACTCAAGATCTTTCTCACAACATCGGATGGTGACATTTGAGTAAGTCCAAGCCCATTGACTTCCTCTACAAGAACATTCAAACGAGAATACATTTCATTTGCACTTTCTTTGGGAAGCATCTCAAAAGAATTTAGCTTTTTAATCACAAGATGATAGCGTTCCTCACGCTCACTCTTGGTTCCCTCATGGAGCGCACAAACGTCCAGACCATAGTGCATGGGCGTCTTTGTGGTTCCTTACGATTGAACACATCTTTGCAAAGGCCTCTAAAGATGGTGTTGCGAGCCTTGCATTCCATTTTCATAGTTTACTTCATCGCCTTGAAGTTGTGCGGCATTCTTAGGTGTTGGGAACCCTTGAGAGGCGGCTCTAAGAATTCCAACATCTAGAGCTTCTAGGTAAGCCTCCATGTGAATTTTTCAATATGGAAAATCATCCCCCTCGAAGATAGGAGGAGGTCCATCCCCGTGAGACATCTTGCTCTAAGCGGTTAGGCTTAAAAATGTGAGCACGAGGCTCTGATACCAATTGAAAGGATCAAGATGCCCAAGAGGGGGGGGGGTGAATTGGGCTAATTCTAAATTTTCTTGCAATAATCAAATCCTACGGATAGCCCAATTAACTCCTTGTGCCTAGAAAAGTGTTTATATCAAACTAATGCACAACAACCTCGCAACCTATGTTCCAAACTTACTCTATCAAGCAATTCTATGGATGTGAAACTAGTATTGAATTGCTCAAAGTAAATACTCAAAGTAAGTGCTCAAAGTAAATAGAGAGAGAAAGGAACGCGGTGATGTTTTGCCGAGGTATCGGAGAGTCGCCACTCCCCACTAGTCCTCGTTGGAGCACCCGCGCAAGGGTGTAGCTCCCCCTTGATCCACGCAAGGATCAAGTGCTCTCTATGGGTTGATTCTTCGACACTCCGTCACGGCGAATCACCCAAAACCGCTCACAACTTGAGTTGGGTCACCCACAAGCTCCGCCGGGTGATCACCAAGCTCCCAATCACCACCAAGCCGTCTAGGTGATGGCGATCACCAAGAGTAACAAGCACGAACTCTCACTTGACCACGCGAAGCCTAATGAGAAGATGGATGCACACTTGTCTACTCTTGATTCACTAATGAGGTTTCACTCTTGGATTCTCAAATCACAAACACCTCACTAGGACCTTGCTCTTCTTGGCACTCACAAACGTGTTTCTCAGCTGTTGGAATAAGCAAAAGTAACTCCACTCACGAATGGAGCAACTATTTATAAGGCAGCCTGAAAAACGAACCGTTATGAGCTTCTGCGGGGTGACCGGACGCTCCGATCGTTTTGACCGGACGCTCCGGTCAATTCAACCTGTGCAACAGTTTTCACGTGATGACCGGACGCTGTCAGGGTCCGGTCGGTACCGACCGGACACGTCCGGTCGCTCTTGGATGCTTACTGTAAACGACCGGACGCTGGATACTCAGGGTCCGGTCACTACTGACCGGACGCGTCCGGTCACACTTTCTCAAATCTGAACCCTTACTGGAGTCGACCGGACGCTGGCCTTCAGCGTCCGGTCACACGACCTTCCAGCGTTCGGTCACTCCAGACTTGTTCTCCTCAGTCAAATGAACTGACCGGACCCTGCGGCCAGCGTCTGGTCGCACCGGAGCCAGCGTCCGATCAGTATTTGACCCTCCATTCACTTCCAACTTTCGATCATATGTGAATGAAGTTAGCTCCAAAAGATCTTAGGCATTCATAGGAGCTACCTAGAGCTAGTTTTAACAAGTGTGCACCACACCTAACTCACTAGACTCAACTAGATCAAGCTACCCGTTCATACCCCCCTTCATAGTACGGCCAAAGGAAAAACAAAGTCCTAAACTATTCTAAGTGTCTCTCCAACTTCAATTGACACTTAGAACTAGTTATCCTTAACCTTATCGTCCATCATTTGAAAACCGAAACGATTTCCATCGTAGGGGCATGACAACCTCAATTGCCCAATCGATCTCCATTACCATGACCTAACTTAATTGCCTCTGCAAAACACACGTTAGTCATAGTAATCTTGTATTGACATTAATCACCGAAATCCACTTAGGGGCCTAGATGCTTTCACTAGGGTTTTTCGAATTCCCTCTTGTTTATTTAAGTTGATTGACAGACATGCTTTATTTTAGTGTACTAGATTACAGTCAGGGAGCTTAATGCTTTTATGTGTATATATAGGTAACGCTTGCTCTGTTCTTGTAAATGGCGTTTCTTATTATTCCCCAAACATATCTGGATAGTAATATTGACTATGTCGGTTGAAAGATCTGTTTTTTTGTTGCTGGTTAGATGTTATCTGCACATGCTATTGGCATGCTGAATGGATTTTGATTGGCGGGTTTCCGTTACTTGTGTCATGTCTGCATTATGCTTGACATGCTAATAAATGTTTCCGTTCTACTACTTTTGTTTGCGATCTCCTTAATCTAGGGTTTTGCTAATTCCCTCTGTTATATTTAAGTTGATTGGCAGGCGTGCTTTATTTTGGTGTACTAGATTAGAGTCAGGGAGTTTAATGCTTTTGTGTATATATAGGTAACGCTTGCTCTGTTCTTGTAAATGACGGTTCTTATTATTCCCCTAACATATCTGGATAGTAATATTGACTATATCGGTTGAAAGATTTGTTTTTTTTTTGCCGGTTAGATGTTATCTCACATGTTATTGGCACGTTGCATGGATTTTGAGCGGCGGGTTTCCGTTGTGTCATGCCCGTATTATATTTGACATGCTCATAAATGTTTCCTTTCTCTTACTTTTGTTTGCGACCTCCTTAATCTAGGGTTTTGCGAATTCCCTCTGGTATATTTAAGTTGATTGACATGCATGCTTTATTTTGGTGTACTAGATTATAGTCAGGGAATTCAATGCTTTTATGTGTATATATAGGTAAACATTTGCTCTGTTGTTGTAAATGGCGTTTATTATTATTCCCCTTACATATCTAGAAAGTAATTTTGACTATGTCGGTTGAAAGATTTGTTTTTTTGTTGCTGGTTAGATGTTGTCTGCACATGTTATTGGCACGTTGCATGGATTTTGAGTGGCGGGTTTCCGTTACTTGTGTCATGCCCGTATTATATTTGACATGCTAATAAATGTTTCCTTTCTCTTACTTTTGTTTGCGACCTCCTTAATCTAGGGTTTTGCAAATTCCCTCTGGTATATTTAAGTGATTGACAGTACAGTAGTGATGTTGTGCAAGCCCCTGTTTTACCTAAGACTTCGTTGTTTACCTTTGTATATTGTGCTATTGTAGTAGCTATTCGCACGCAGAATGGAATTATGTAGTCTCTGATTGGAATAGAGTAGTTTGGTCACTAGACATGGAACATAATGACTTGGTCATTTAGACATGGAACATAATGACTTGAACCATTCGGCGATTGCAATAGAAACAAATGGCTATTAATTGCTGCATTGATAAATTATCAAAAGGAAGCTGCACAGATCATAAATTTCCTTATTTGGATAATCAAGTGGGCAAATTTTGTACCTAACCATTTTTTTTAAAAGTAACGCTACACCTACAAAAACGTTCCACAAAACGCTACCTACGTGCTGACATGGATAGTAGCAGCCATGCGTGCTAATTTGAACTTACCAACTAAAAGGTTTCATGTGGTAGTGGTGGTGGTTAGCCATGTCAGCACATAAGTATAGTTTTCGTATAACTTGTTTGTAGATGTAGTATTACTTTTCGAAGGTGCATCCCCTTTAGTATTGAGTTCTCTTTGGATATCATGTACACTACGTTAGATGTTTAGGTATGAACTGAACTGCTAGAAATTGAATCTCTGCATCATAGACATGATTACGTTATGGAAACTTTGTCCTTGCTAACTCGTTGTTGTTGTTTTAATCTTCAGTTCAGGTGGCAGCACTTGCATTCCTTCACTATCTTGTGATGTTGGGTTCTACCGTCATGCTTGCATCAGTTATTGTTCCTGCAATGGGTGGTAACGCTGTAAGTGTTCAGTGCTTTGGCTGGCAGTTATTTGTTTCATTTTGAAGGATTAGTGTTTTTCCACCTCACATTTGTGCTTGTTACTGACAGGGTGACAAGGCTCGAGTTATTCAATCGTTCCTCTTTATGAGTGGCATAAATACACTGCTGCAAACACTTATTGGAACGAGACTTCCAACAGTTATGAATGCCTCTTTTGCATTTGTTGTCCCAGTGCTGTCAATAGCAAGAGAGATCGAATCAAATAATGACTTGCTGAATAATCACGAGGTATAATGGTGCTCATTTGCTTGAACTTACACTTTTGGGTTTGAAATGGATGCTCATCCATTTTTCTTATTGGGGTGTGGGTAAATTTGTTTGGAGCATAATCAATTCTTTATGATTGACTGCTTAAATATATTTTACTTTGTAATACAAATAATTGTAACCTATTAGGGCGTCTGCGGAGATTTAAACACACAATGAGAACAGCACAAGGAGCTCTGATTGTGGCTTCCATCCTCAACATGATTCTTGGGTTCAGCACGATATGGGGGGCATATGCCAAGTATGGATCTTATAGTACTTGCTCTTAGGGTGAGAATGGTAGTCCTCGCATGTTGTATTTGCCAAGATATTAACACTCAAATGATATTCTTTGCAGGAAGTTCAGTCCTGTAATGATGACCCCTGTTGTTTGTGTTGTTGGTCTTGGACTATTCCAACTTGGCTTTCCCCAGGTACGTTTCTGTACTTCTACAGCAAAACAGAGCAGCTCATGAGGAAAAAAAGGAAAAAGAAAAAGAAAAGGAAAGGAACCTTAGAATGTTTGATTGTCAATTTAGGTTGGGAAATGTGTGGAGATTGGGCTTCCAATGCTAATTCTTGCGGTGATTGTGCAACAGGTAATGGCTTAATCTCTGTCAATTGTATTTTAAGTGAAACATTTATTTGTAGCATAGCCCTACATTATTTGCTGTTATAAAACTAGCTAGGAGATCAATGATGTGATATTGTATATGCAGTATGTGCCAAATTACTTCAGTTATATCCATCAGCGGGTCACCTTCTTGTTTGAGAGGTATTCGTTGCTTCTTTGTATTGGCATTGTGTGGGCCTTTGCAGCCATCCTTACTGCTGCGGGTGCATACGACCATGTTTCACTTTAGACACAGCCGCACTGCCGCACTGATAAGTCTTTCCTCATGTCATCGGCACCATGGTATGCCCATAAAGATGATTCTTTGATCAAGATTTAAAGACCATCATTTTTTTTGGAGAAGACATTTTAATCTATTTTCTGCATGCATATTCTTGTAGGATTAAAATTCCATTGCCATTCCAATGGGGTCCTCCAATCTTCACTGCTGGTCATTCATTTGGGATGATGGGTGCTGTACTTGTTGCAGCCTTTGAGGTTAAGACTTAAAAGTCTGATGCTTTTCTATCTCTAGATCATTATTTTATCTTCTTTTTGGTATTCTTTTTTTTAAATATGTTTTGTCTGTTGTAGTCAACTGGAGCACACTTTGCTACTGCTCGTCTAGCGGGTGCTACACCACCTCCAGCTCATGTTCTTAGTCGGAGCGTTGGCTTGCAGGTTGGATCTATACCAGAGTTTCCTCTTGAAAGACTAGTGCTACTAACGTATTGTTACATCGTTTATTGCTGTCCTTCCATCTGAATGTGGATCCAGGAGATACTTCTCTGTTACTCATCTTTGACAAAATGAGATTCTAAATTTGGTCCTTTTGTAAATACTCTTAAATTTTCCTTTGTTACTTACCAAAATGCTTTGACTGGTGGATATGTTCTATTCTAGTGTAGCTCCTTACAGGCTTACACTAATGTGATGTGACCATTTCTTGTGCTTACAAAATTTTGAGCCTTCTGATAAAATGTTCTCATGCAGGGTATTGGAATGTTCCTGGAGGGGATCTTTAGTTGTCCAGCAGGCTCATCCGTATCAGTGTAAATAATCTTAGCTTTCTCCCGTATCTGTGAGGGTTTTCATTCTAGATAAGATTCAAGCAGATAATCTTAGTTGACAAGCACCTTCAAAATTTCCACCTTGGTTCCTAAAAATGCATGTAAAAGTTTATGGTTGAACCTAGAACATGCTACCCCAGAAGACTCAACTAAGATAAGGATTGTTATTAGAAGACATGCTTAACTATTACTGCTTGTTCTGAAAAAAAATCTTCTATTTTCTTTTTCTTTTCTTCAATGCAGTGAAAATATTGGCCTCCTTGGGCTGACCAAAGTTGGAAGTAGAAGAGTGATCCAGATATCAACTGGGTTTATGATATTCTTCTCCATATTTGGTAATTTTGTTTTTTCATTTGGTTGCCAGGAGAGAATTTGCAACTCTTTTGCTCAAATTGTGAACTCCTATTATTGCAGGGAAATTTGGGGCCTTCTTTGCATCAATTCCACTGCCAATCTTTGCAGCAATTTACTGCATCTTATTTGGCATTGTAGGTGAGTCAAACTTCCTTCTCGTGTTTTTACAAGTTGTATAGATGAATTCTAGAGGCAGAACTTGGTGCAGATTCGTCATTCATAGACTAATATCAGTGAATTTTTGTTGATGTCAGCTGCTGTGGGAGTCTCATTCATGCAGTTTGCCAACAAGAACTCAATGAGGAACATCTATATCATTGGAGTCTCATTGTTCCTTGGCATCTCAATCCCTCAATACTTCAATGAATATACTTCTTCAGCTGACGGCCGTGGACCTGCCCGGACAAATGCTGGATGGGTATTTGAAGCTTCTCCTTTTACATCTATTACATTCAGTGTTTGTATAGTTTGCATCACCCATCTACCATCTGCATGTGTTAAATTTTCTGCATGCCACATTAGTACACTCAAGAGTCTGTAACTTGATGCTGCAGTTATGTCAGTTGTCAGGTTGCAGCTTGGACTCTATGCGACTATGCCAGAATTTTGACATCTAAATATGTCTTTATGCAGTTCAATGACATTATAAACACCGTGTTTGCTTCCGGCCCGACGGTGGCGCTAATTGTTGCTTCTGCCCTGGATAACACATTGGAGTTCAGGGGCTACGAGTCCGACCGGGGGCTCTCATGGTTTCAGCCATTCCTGCATCGTCATAAAGGTTACTCGGACCCCAGGAACGAGGAGTTCTATAGCTTCCCAATCAGGGTTCATGACTTCATCCCAAGCCGATTTCTCTGACTTCAGATGACTGCTGTTACCCGCAGCTGTGCATGTAAATCGCCGTGTTCTTGTTAGTCTTAGTCCTGTGGCTTGTAGCGGTTGGTTATAGGGGGATATGGGTAAAAGAATGTTTAGGGCATTTGCTTTGTTTAACTCTTTTGGGCTGAGAGATGGTTATACATGATAATGTAGAGCTCTGTGCCAGATACATGGTTTTGGGAAGGATTACAGAAGAATAGCACCTTACATGTTGATGGGTTTTTAGTGCAAGGCATTGGTTAGTTTTTACCCATTGTATGGCCGTTGGAACTTGATCTGCCGTCTGGGAAAAGGGTTTTGACAATTTAATTTTACAAGATTTGTTCACAGTTATCACTTAAACTTGATGTCAGCCCTACCACGCTCGATGAGATTGCCCTCGAAGGCTTGACATCAGTGGTGCGGTTTGTTGACAGTGACGTACTGAGTGAGCGGTTTATCATGGAACATCAGTGGTGCAGTGGTCGCCTGGTGGGTGCCCATTCTATGAAATTGCAGGCACTGAATAACCTGATGCAAATCAAATTTGTCTGATATTGCCATCTCTGTCACTCCCATATAAAAGAAGTTGAAGGAGCAAGAATGCAAGACCCAAGACAGTGCAGGCTTTGAAAGGGAGATGAGATGTTCGTCTGAGGTAATTGCACTGGCTTATGTAGTTGTAGGCTTGGAAAGCATCAGGAGTGCTTGTTTCACTCTGAATGGGTGGCGTCCCTTGACACATCAGTGAAGAGCCAAGAAAACCGTGCAAGTACCTACCATGCTGGCCACATCTTGTCGGGGATGACAAAGCAGAGCTTGGTGGAGAGCCAACGCCGCAAAGTTGCTGCACTGCCTTCCAACCCCAAGAATCATGATCCACCGGAATCAAGTCAGTTGCAATGTTGAATCTGAAACTTTTGAAAGAAAATAAGACAGGAAAAATGGGCCATATCATGTTGCGATTTTAGTTTATCATTTTTCTCCTAACATTTCGAGCAGGATTATCTTTGATTCGATGCTGGCTAATGAATGTGAAAATGTGGTTTTATTATACTTGAAAAAGAAAACGAAATATGTTGGGACAATCCACATTCATATGGGCCAAGTCCCCCTAGAAGAGTACCAACTAGCGCCGTTGGAGTGGCATGTAAAATCAACTCCCACCAAGGGTCGCTTATAAATTGCCACTTGCCTATATATAATGCCAAGAGCATGAGGGCAAGGGAGCTCTCTCTCCTCTCCTACTCATTTTTCGCAAACCCTAGCCGCCGCCTCACTGCCCCCTCTCGCGCGTTGCAACCTTCGTGGCAGAGCCTTCTCTACGGAGCCTCCGTCGTGGAGCCCTTACATGGAACTATCATCTGGGACCTTCATCTGGGACTTTGTTCAGGACCTTCGTCCCCAGACCTTCGTCTGGGAGCCTTCGTCGGCGGGCCTTCCCCGGACTAGCTTTAGTCAGGGGACCTCCTCCGGTCAATCTTCGTCGGACGACCTTCTCCGGCCAGGCCTTTGTCGGAAGACCTTCTCCCGACCTTCGTCGGGAGACCTTCACCAGCTAGCCTTCTCCAAGGAGCCTCCACCTCTCAACCCTGTTCGGGACGCTTGTCCCAACAAAATACATTGTGTGTCCATGGCCAACCTAGCTCACTGTTACTCTGTTAGCCCTCAGATTGGAAATGGAGGGCTGATTCATACACAGCAAGAGTTGTGTCATGGATCAGTCTTAATTAGTCCCCGTCCTGATCTGACGACCGACGGTGTGGGTGGCCATTTGCCACTGTGGTCATATTATGTTTCCTGCTCAACTTTTCTGAAAAAAGTATTTTCTGTTTGTTTAGGAGAAAGACTGAACTGTAACTCTACTGAATCACATTAAATGTCTTGAATATGCTAGCTAGCAATAGTTTTGGCCATGTTGCTCCAATTTTCCTTTCTTAAGAACTGTTCTTTTCTTTTCTTAAGTCTGTTCGTGGAGCAACTTTCTTTAAAAAAGGGGCAGGACAGTCCCAGTGCCGGAGGCTCCCACATGAGTGGGGTCTGGGGAAGGGAAAAACTGAGGCAAGCCTTCCCCCCACAAAATTTGCGGAGAGGCTGCTTCGAACCCATGACCTGTGACTCAGTGAGCAACTTTCTTTAGATGGAATTAATTAAGATCGAATAATTTCATTGTCAAAGTTGTTGTAATGAAAAACATATGTAAAAGATGATACATCAGTCCTTGACCATGCTCTCTTGCTCCTGTGTATAGTATAGTTTGTCAAATATACACCTAGAACCCAAGATTTCTGGGGCTTAGGTTTTTTGTAGTTCTTGACCTCTTAGGGATGGTCTTCTTTTACCAAATTTTCAGGATAAACGTTCAGATGTTTCACCTAATTTATTACGTGTACATTTCGTTCTTTTAATAATCGTAAGCAACTGAATAAATATAGTTTGATCTTAGCCTCCCAAGGTTGGTTGATGGTACCTGATGCTACCAAATGGCAGAAGCAATATATGAACCTTGGCCTGAACTAAACAACTGAATAAACATGAAGTCAGTTGTTCCCAACTGAACGAACATCACACAATGAATGGGAAGACAGTTCATCACTTCGTCGGCTATGAATATCATACAACTGAATTAACACAAAGTATGAGCTGCCCAAATCAAGCTAGTTAGACTGCAGATGCCCAATAATATTTGAGTATACACCCATCTTGACATAAAAGCACAGGTGAATGAGCATACACGTTATGGAGGCGTAGGCTACTGGATAACTTTAGTGCCTTTCCTGTGTTAGGCTAGGAGGCATCTGCAATTCGAAATACACTACATGAGCACAATGATTTGAAGCTCATTCATCTCACCCCTACCATGCTGGATGAAATTTGTTCAGAGTTATCACTTAACTTATCCCAGCCCTACCATGTTCGAAAAGATTGGCCTAGAAGGCTTCACCATCTCTGAACTCTGAAGAAACTGAGTACCCAACTGAACAAGCAGTTTATCATGGAACTGTTGGAATATGGGCTTGGCACAATAAGAAATTCATGAAATTCCTAAGAAATCTCAAAGGCCCATTCATGTATGCAAAGAAGGGATGTGGGAACTCTTTAGTCCCACCTTGCTAGTGGAAGTGGAGGTAGCCATGCTTAAATATGTGAGTCCTCTCCACATCCTCAAGTCTAGTGTTAGGAGGAGAAAGAGAAGCCCACACGTGCATGCTCACCTCGCCTCGCTGGACGGGGCGAGGCGGAAGGCGCGGGCGCACGGCACCTGCGTGAATGGTTCGTCGAAATCCGGCTCCTCGCCTTGTGGGGGCGTGGTCTCTTTTTGCAGTTTTTAGTTTTGGTTTCTTGGCCTTCAAGTTGCAGAGTCCTAAACGGTTTAGATCTTGATCGCGGGCGACCGGGCGAGCAGGTCTCCGGAACCCTCATCCTTGCGATCCTGCACCGGGAGAGGGCAAATAAGGTTTTTGGGAAGCGCTCATCGCGCGACTGCTCCTGACTTCCGCGACGGGTCGTCTTCCGTCCAAGACAGGCAGCGCTATGTCCCGGCATATCCGTCGTCAGCTGCTCCAAGCTCTTCCTCCACCGCTCATCGACGACTTCGTACCACCACCACCAGCGCCGTCTCCACCACCAGCAACACCGTCTTCCTCTACAGTCCAAAGGTATACGCCACGTGATCCAATCTATTACTGTCATTTGTTTACTATACTGAGCATGATTATCTGTGTTATGTTGCCTAAATTAACTAGTATGTTAGGGCTCTGCATGCTAGTTTTTGAGATCGTCATAATTTATATTCTGGTATTAATCTGAAAATTGCCTAATTCTTCAACAATCCAAAAACCTTATTGTAGGCCTTTTCCAGAATTATCTATGTCTAGTTTCGCTGACACGTTGAGGCCAGAAAAGTTTTCTGGTGCGCACTTTAAGAGATAGGAGGTCAAGGTCACTAGTTGGCTGACATCCATGAAAGTGTTCTAGGTGAGCGCTGGCATGCCCGAGGAAAATATCTCTGAAGAAGATCAGAGAAGATTCCAGGATGCCAATGAGATCTTTGTGGGAGCTGTGTAGAATGTACTCTCTGACCATCTGTTTGATTCAACTCTGCACATAAAAGATGCAAAGACGTTGTGGGATCATCTGAATGCTACTTATGGTGCATCAGATGCTAGCAGTGAACTGTATATCATGGAGAGCTTTCATGACTATAAGATGGTTGCTAATCGATCTGTAGTCGAGCAAGCTCATGAGGTTCAGCGTCTTGAACTCCTTAAGTGTGTCATACCCGATGAGTTTGTGGCTGGGTGCATTATTGCAAAGTTGCCTCCTTCATGGAGGGGCTTTGCCACAAGTCTTAAACACAAGAGACATAAAATATCAGTTGAAAACCTGATAGCATCTCTTGATATTGAGGAGAAGACTCAGGCTAAGGACAACAATGAGAAGGGGAACGAGGGACATCCTAGCGCAAATTTCATCTAGAGAAACTCACATGGCAAGAACAAAGGAAAGAATAAGCCTTTCAATGCCAAGTCTATTACTACCTTCAAAAAGAAGAAGAAAGATAAAGCAGAGTTGCCTTGCTTCACTTGTGGAGAGCTTGGCCACTTTTCCAAAGAGTGTTCGGAGCGAGCAGACCGCAAAGGGAAAAACAAGAATGTCACCCTTGACTACTAGCAATGCTAGTGACGGTTATGGTAATCTTCCTACTGTACTATCAGTATTTTAATCTCCAAGTTGGTGGGTTGATACAGGTGCTAATATTCATGTGTGTGTGACACCTCTATGTTTTCTTCTTATCATGGGCTCCAAGGTGTCTCCGTTCTGATGGGGAATGGATCGCATGCTTCTGTTCGTGGTGTTGGCACGGTGGATCTGAAGTTTACTTCAGAAAAGATCGTGCAACTGAAGAACATGCAGCATGCCCCTACTATACGGAAGAACCTAGTTAGAGTCTCCCTTCTTTTGAGAGATGAGTTTAAGGTAGTGTTAGAATCCAATAA